TAGATGCTTAGACATAATTCACATTTAAAATCAGCCCAAGTTATTGGAATGCCCTTCATTATAGAATGTATTTAATATTTTACAATATGAGAGATAGGAACATTTTGCTGTCTTATAAAAAAGGATTTAATTTTAATGTTTGTATTTGCCTTGATTAATTAAAAATTATTTTAATATCATCACATTATGAATTCATTTCTGTTCTCTACCAGCTATGGGTAAAGTGATAATAGTAAAATTAGTTGTTTCCATATAGGAACCATTTAGTAGTCATTGACCAAACAATTAGCATTCCTGTCACAAAATTTGTAATAAAAAATTTATCTCTTAAAACAGTTATTCTGGAAATTAGACTTCTCAAGTAAACAAACTGTTATAGCTTTTTGTAATATTGATGGGAGTTTCCTACCAAACCTTTTGTTTTTGGTAGTGTGGAAAGTTAATAACAGCTTTAATATCTTTTTTTTCTTTCTTTTTTTTTTAATAGTGACACGTGCTAGCCTTTCTTTTTCTCTTTTTATGTTGCTTTTGGAAGTCTGCAAGTAATGTTATTTTTATCAGTTGGTCAAGCTCTTTGATTGTGGTTTTGTAATGCAAGTCTATTGGGTCTGATGATGGATTATCTTCTTTAAGATTTTGACTAAGCTCCCTGGAATTGGATGGTACCAGTCAAGGTACAAGGATCAAGAGATCTGAATTCAAAACCATGGAGAAGGCAGCAGAAAACCACTGTACTATCTGTCCCAAGAAGTCATGGCAATTCAAAAATAGTAAAGGAAAAAATAGTAGGGTTTGTGGAGAGGCATGATTGCTTACATTTTGAAGAGACATGAAATTTTGAAATGTGTTTCGAAAAAATTGACAAAATCTGATCCGAAATGAAAAAAAGAAAAAGAAATATAACTAATTTTCTTCTTTTAAATTTTTTCCTGTTGTTATTATTATTATTATTATTTTTTTTTTTTTTTTACCTCAGAAGAAAGTATTATTTTAGGATCTACTCACTCCCCCCACACACACACACTCCGACCATTTTGTGATTTTATACAAGCTGGCATTTGATGTCTTTTTCTCTTCACTGATCCATCATCTCTGTACGATCCATCACTCCCCCAACCATCATACTTCTTTTTCTCAACACTATACTTGTTTTACATCCCTCCCCCCATACACACACCCATTTCTTGTGGTAGCAAGGGGTGACATGGAAGGTGGGGGACAGTTGGAAAATCAAAAATTCTGCTGTTAGTTGGGTTCAATTCTCTCATTATTTTGAAGTCTTTTTCTCATTCTTTTTTATTTTATTTTTTCCCTTTTCTATTATGCTTTGTGTTCTTTGAAGAAACTATTAGGAATCTGGATAGGGTCGGTGTTGAAGTTTGTGGATATTACTTACTTTATCAGACTTAGCAGGCTCTATCTCCTGGAGAAATATTTTCCTAGCACCTAGTTGTGGGGTTGGGAGTGTAATGTAGGGTGTTCTGTTGAAAAGAAATCACTGAAGATAATTAAACTATCTTTACACTTTGGTCAAACTATTACGACTTAACCCAATTTGTGATTTTTTTTCTCCTTGAAGGAGTTATTATATGGGTGGGGTGGGAGATGGCTTGCAAAAATAAATGTTGTGTTGTATTCCTTATTTCAGTTTACTTTTTTAAGACTTGGAAAAATTAATTTCCTAAAAATGTAGTTTTGTCCACTCATGTCCTCTCTACTACAGTTCATACAAATTCACTTTTAATCATAATTTTCTTAAAAACAAAATATTAAAAAAAATAAATTATAAAAAAAAAATTACTGCCACATCTATCCCATAATAATTGTTACAATTAATGTATGAAATGTGTATACAAATGTAACAATTATTATGGGACAGAATACAAAATGTGTCTCATAATGATTGTTACATTTAGTGTATGAAATGTGCATGCAAATGTAACAATTATTATGGGACAGAATACAAAATGTCTCATAATGATTGTTACATTTAGTGTATGAAATGTGTATGCAAATGTAACAATTATTATGGGATATATTATAGGATATATATATATATATATATATATATATATATATGCTTTTGATTTTTCAAGGTACTTGGACCCATGGATGTGCAGGTGGTGGAATGGATAGCAACTCCGAATGAGAAATCAGAAAGAGTTCAAATTCCAGTCAGATTCATTACATTCACTTACACACAATTATGCTTGGGGAAGCTATGAATTCATCTCTACCCTCCAGCTATAGGTTAATCAGTAAAAATTATTGCTATTCTTTAAAAAAAAATTGTTAATGTAATATTCACTCACCAGTAAAGAATTATTGTTAAAATCCAAAATATGTTTTAGCTTTAGATAACCACCAAAGGGTTGATAACTGTAAAACACACAAACACACACACACACACACACACACACACACACACATATATAGTAAGGTAATGAAGGATTTGGTAATCCATGTGGATAACTCCAAAGAGGATGTAATCCAGAGAGCTCAATTTAACAACAGAGCAAATATTAATTAAATAATTAAGAAAGAGACAACCTTAAGGTTCCACAAAAACTTTTATTAAAAATAAAAAAATTCCTTTGTAACTAGAGATATGACCTGATGAACCAGGAAGAATATATTTTCTGGGGAAATAAATTATAGTCATGGAACCTTAAGGTTGTCTCTTTTTTAATTATTTAATTATATATATATGCATGCTGTAGTAAAGGGTAGTGGCTCAGTTTGAGAAATTAGAGAGCCGAGTTCGAATTCCAGTTGAATTCATTACATTCACTTATGTGCAAATACCCTTGGGAAAGGCGTGGATCCAATTCTTCACCCCACCCTCCCCATCTATGGGTAAATAGCAGGACAATGAATCCTATAGCCTTGGATAGCAACCAGTCTAGGAGAAGGACAAGTTTGAATTCAAAGACATGAGGAGGGTTGTTTGAATGTACCAGTTTACTGTCTTCAGCTCTTCCAAAAAGTGTGATTGGTTCTGCACAAGCCTTCACCACTATAATCAATTCATATGTGCAAGTTGTCTGGCTGTTCAGATCTAGGAACTGAGTTGTGTGTATCCTCTTATGTTGAAAAGATGGGAGAGTATATATATATATATATTTTTTTTTTTTTCTTTGTTAATGTACATGATAAGTTTTTTGGGTTTTTTTTTCTATTGCTTTGTTGGCTAAATAGATTCTGTTACCTTGTTACATATTAAAGCACATTTAATGTCTACAAAACTGAAGTCATAAATTAACAACTTATTGTTAAATTATTCTTAAAGATTGAACTCTCTTGTTTCTTTCCCTCCCACCATCTTCAGTTGATGATGTCACGGATTTTATGTACAGTAGCCCTCCAGTTAGAACATAATTTTTCTGATTATTTCTTTTGTTATTTCTTTTTCAATTACTCTCTCTCTCTCTCTGCAATCTAATAAAAATCTAAAACTTGGCACTTACCAAACAAAAATGGTGTTTTTTTTGTTTTGTTTTGTTTTGTTTTATTCTGCTTTTATCTAATCTCCCACTGACTTATGTTTTACTGGGTTTTTTTCTGGTCTCTTAAAATTTATGGCTTTTCTTCAGCTGCTGCTGTTTGGCAAAATGTTTCCAGTTTTTTTTTTATAAACTCTGTTTTATTATCTAAAATTAATCTTAAAATCTATTTTCTTTATATCAAATCTCTTGTCATGCTTAGCTGAGGGTTTTTTTTTTTTTTTCTAATTTTACACATTTCTCGATTTTACTTTATTTATTTTCATAATTCATTTATTTTTGTTTATTTTATTTTTATATATATGTCCCATAATGGTTGTTGTATTTTCATACACATTTCATAAATTGAATAATTATTATGGGACAGAGGTAGTTATAAATGGGAAAGGTATGATTACATCTCCTCCTCCTCTCAGCTAAGAGTTAAATAGCAGGACTTGTATCTGGAAAACTCACTGCTATTCTATAAAAGTTTATAACTGTTATCACTCTGTAGATGACTATTTTCACCAAGCAAAACATTAGTTCTGGCAATGCAAGTTGAATTCGAACTTCTTTGATTGTGTAGTCATATCCTTCTATGATTACACCTAAAACAATCTTGACTAAAATTGAGAGCCAGGTTACTGCAATTTCAAATATATAGAACTAATATATAAAACACCATATTTTGATGGGGATTTCATATACAGTAAAAGGGGAAGTAATATTTATAAATGATGCAGAGTGCTAAATGTTAATGCAGTATTCATCACGCCCCCCCACACACACACACACCGAATCTTACAATCTCAGATATGCTTTAAATATTCCACAAAGGGTTGATAAAACAAAAAGCAACAAATTTATCAATCCAGACAGATGTTAAATATAATAGTTTACAAACTTTTTAGAGGAAGTATTGCCAAAATTTACTGAGAGATATCGTCCTATGTATGACAAAAAACTACATCTGACAAGCAAGGCCGCTGATCAAGAGGTTTTGAAGAGTGTGGAACCACCTCTTAATTGTTGGTGATCCCAGGGTGGTGGAACCTGTTGGAGTGCCAGCTATGGGCAAATAATTAACCCCCAAACTGGGTCAAAACACTATGAAAGTGTAAAAATAGGTTTTAATACCAGCAAGAAATTTTTGTAAAAAATTATTACTAGCAATAAATTTTTCAAGAAAAATTTATTACTAGCAATACACTTTTGAAAAAAAAAATATTACCAGCAGTAAAAATCATGTCAGCATTAAATAACCCATTAAGGTTGATATCCCATAAAACAAACCAAACTAAAGACAGAAAATTGTGGAGAGCTATGGGCACCAACGTCTTGAAGGGACATAACATATAGATGAAGAATTATTATCAAATGTTATTCATTTTTTATTTTTATATATTTTTTTTTTTATTAATAATTAATCTTTGTTCTGTTGCTTCTTTCTTCATTTTTTTCCCAGTAATATGAATACTTGTTTGTTTTAAAATTAATTTACTTGGGTCTCTTTAGGTGGCCTTGGTGCGCTGTCATCTGGAGATACAGCGACCTTTGGCAGCAGCACTGATCCGTGGGTGATGTCTGGAGTGCCAACTCCTACAGCAAGTGAGTAGAAAAAATATGCATAACATTATAAACAAAATTATTTGTTTTTTTTTTTTGTTTGTTTTTTAAATGACTTGATGCAGTTGTAACCTTTTTACCAACAGAATATGAAAAAAGTTATTCTTTGTATGTTACTAAAAACCTTTTTTTGTTTTATTAAAAGTTTCACAAAAACCAAACTATTAGCAAAAATCCTCCTCTTCTGAAATAGTCAAATACATTTTGTATGAACAAAAAAAAAAGGGGTTAAACTCATTTACTTAAGAGTCTGGAGAAACTAGTAAACTGATTGCCTGACTGCATTTTATATCAGATAATAAAGAAAATTAATGTATAATTATCATTCAAATTGTATCAATCTTTCTATCCATCATCATTCCTTGGGCCCAATGCCTGTTGGGATTAACAGCATCCTGGATATTAAAAGGATTAGCCATAGCTCTTGAAATTTATTCTGTTGTTGTTTTACAGAGTATCTCCACCGTATGACTAACCTTTTTTGTATTGCTTCAGGTGGTTGGGTTTTGAATTCAAAGTTGTCTTTCTCCTAGACTGGTTACAAACCATAGCTAAAGAGCTCACAAGAATTATCGTCAGGGGTGTAATAAAGTAAAGTAAAGAAAATTAAATGTATTTTATGCTGCGCATTGTCTTAGAAATATGATTTTTTTTCTTTTTGTCTGAAAGTTATTTTTAGTGCAGTAGAATGCAGTAAGTCATGTCAGCAATGTGCAATGACATTCAATACTTTTTTTTTTTTTATTCATTCAAGAATAATTTTACTAATTTCTGTTAATAGATGGTTGCTTTTGTTGAATGCAAATAGCTTTAATAATCTTTCGTTTTTTTTGTTTTTTTGCAATTGAATTATATGTACATATTGCATTTAATATGCAAATTACATATATATATATATATATATATATATATATATATATATATATGTATGTATATATAAAAGACAATAAGAAAAAAGTGTAATGATTTAAACACGTTTCATCCGATGTGGACTTTTTGAAGGCAAAACAAAATGAATTTATTAAAACAAAGTAACTAATAATAACAAAATGTCTTTAGCAATTAGAAGAATTTAGAAAACACTATTTTCATACTGTTAACTGAAAATAGCATTCTCTAAATTCTTCCAGTTATAAGGACATTTGTTTTGTCAATAGTTACTTTGTTTAATAAAGTCATTCATTCTGAAAAGTCACATCAGACAAGCTGTGTAATAACATCTTCAATTCTATTGTCTTTTACATTTATAAATATTGTCTTTTCTACAGGTTAACTCAGATATTTTTCATACATACACACACACACACACACACACACACACACACACACACACATGCTTAAAAGTCAGCCTATTGGGTGGTATTTAAGCTAGCTCCTGCAGAGGACTCTTGATTGGGCCTTCATCACAATAAGTAGGGAGGCGTAGATGCGATAGGTAACAATAAACTACAGAAGAACTCAATTGATCACTGCATTTAAGTTTTGCATTAATATCTAAACTTACCTTTTAAAAGTTCAACAATACTTAATTTAAAGGCAATTTGATGCATGTAGGTCCTTACATTCCGTACAGTTTTTTTTTCTAAGCATTTCACTCCAAGCAAGGTGGGAGGGCCACTAGTTTGCAGGGGGTTACATAGAGTGAAGGTGAGAGAAAGCACTGTGTCTAAGGGGGGTGAAGAAAGGATAACAGATGAACAGAGTTCAAGACATCAGAAGATGGCGATTGATGTTGCATTTAAATTTTTGAAGATTGTAGCTATCAGGGTAGCAAGTAAACAGAATGGTGTTTCATAGGTGGGAATTGCAAAGAAAGGAAATGTTGGAGTAGAAGTGGCGGTTACATTTATCTATTTCAACGGTAAAAGGTTGGGACATAGAGGATAGCCTAGTAGCATGCTTAAATTTATGTAGTTGTGGCACCAGAGAGATAAAAAAAAAAAAAATCAACAGAATAGTTGCCATGAAATTATTTGTAGAAAAGACAGAGGAAAGCCACATTATGGCTGTGAGAAAGTGACTGGAGTCAAGATGCCAAATCAGGATTGATTACATTGCAGATCCTTTGGGTTTTGTTGAGAACATCGTGATGAACAGCTGGGGCACCAAACAATATATGGCAACAGTACTCAATGCATGGACAAATGGTAGATTTTTAGATATGTAAAATGAACTCAGATGAAAAAAAAATCTTCTGACACAACACAGTGAGCCAACTTTCCTTGCAGCTGATGTGGCTATTGATTCAATGTAGTTGTTCCACTTCAAGTCATTTGAAAGCGTAAGACCAAGAAACCACAGTGAGACACTCTCCTGGAGTCTAGCATCAACCATTTTAATGGCGGACAGGGAATTCTCTGTGATGGCTAACTGAGAGAAGTTTTATTTTGGAGGAATTAAAAATTACAAGCCATTTCCTACACCAGTTAACCACTGATTGAGGGTCCTTTTCAAGAGCAGCGGACAAGTTGAATTTGTCAGCACTACCGGGTTAAACTATTGAGACAGGAGTAAATGGTTGTTTCTGCGTAGATGTCTACTTTGGGAGCTGATGACATCAGGAAGATCACCGATAAAGATCAGAAACAGTGTAGGAACCAGGACAGATCCTTGAAGAATCAGACAAAGACCTTAAATGAGATTAAATTTTATCATTACGCACAGTTTTAAATTTGGTTATTTTGATATCAAAATCTTAGATATTGATTTTCTTCCTAATTCACCCATTTTATTAAATCTTAGCACTATACCAGGTAACATCACACTTTTTATTTAGTTATTTCTTCTCAATGCTAACAGATGTCCATTTTATTTTTTTGAATTTGGTAAATAAAACTCAAATTTAGGATTTTTAAATTCAAACTTTTTCTTTTCTTTTCTTAAATAATCCTTTTTTAGTCAAGACAGAACCCAACACCGACACAGGCTCTTCCGATTCTCCTTATCCAGCTACAACAGCTTCAGGGGACAATCTGGAAAATTTCTCAGGTGAATTTTTTTTTTTTTTTTTTTATTATATTTTATTTTATTTTCTAATTGTAATAACCACCTCATTAACCTTTGTTTAGTCTAAGTTCATATTTTAGCTTTGCTTTTATGTTTCATTCTTTTCTCTTTTACCTTTCTTTTTACCTTTCTTTCTTTTTACCTTTCTTTCTTTTTACCTTTCTTTCTTTTTACCTTTCTTTCTTTTTACCTTTCTTTCTTTTTACCTTTCTTTCTTTTTACCTTTCTTTCTTTTTACCTTTCTTTCTTTTTACCTTTCTTTCTTTTTACCTTTCTTTCTTTTTACCTTTCTTTCTTTTTACCTCTCTTTCTTTTTACCTCTCTTTCTTTTTACCTCTCTTTCTTTTTACCTCTCTTTCTTTTTACCTCTCTTTCTTTTTCCCTCTCTTTCTTTTTCACTCTCTTTCTTTTTCACTCTCTTTCTTTTTCACTCTCTTTCTTTTTCACTCTCTTTCTTTTTCACTCTCTTTCTTTTTCTTTTCTTTCTTTTTCTCCTCTTTTTTTTCTCTTTCTTTTTTACTCTTTCTTTTCTCTTTTTTCTTTTCACTCTCTTTCTTTTTCACTCTCTTTCTTTTTCACTCTCTTTCTTTTTCACTCTCTTTCTTTTTCACTCTCTTTCTTTTTCACTCTCTTTCTTTTTCACTCTCTTTCTTTTTCACTCTCTTTCTTTTTCACTCTCTTTTTGTTCTGTTTCCTCTCTTTTTTTTTCACAGAAAATGCACATGCCTTTTTAACATCAGACTGAAGATACATAGATTCATATCTCTGATTTTAAATGAAATATTGTCAGAAGTGATTTAACTAAGTTTATGTTTGTTTGTTTTTTAATTCCATAAACTTGGAAATTTTTATTCTCTAACAATTTGTGCAAAAAATGATTTTTTTTTTTTTAAACAGTACTAAGCTTTTCCAGTTTATCTTGATGGACATGGTTTCTTTTATTTTAGGTGACTCCAACAAAACTTCATCAGAATACCAACATTCAAATTACGCTTCAAACTACTTCAACAGGTAAATAATCTTTTGCCTTCCAATCTTACAGAGATTAGACACTTAGGCATTGTCCATCATACGATGGTGTCTCAACATCAATAATATGCTCTTGGTATTGTTAGTAATATTCAGGTTTCTTTCTAAATTTCTGGCATCAGGAGTTACCATTATTTACACCATTTATATATTTAAATAAATGAACAAATTAACAAATCTCCCCCGCTAAAATAACCATTAGAACTAATAAAAATAAGCATAAATAAGCAAAAACAAGTAAAAATAATAAATCCAAATAAATAAATTAAAAACTGTCCCCCAACCAAAATAACTAAATTAATAGACTACGGTAAGCAATCTAAACATTGAACGATTAAATAGCCTTAATTATCTACCCAGACCAAGACTAACTATTAAATAAGCGACTAAGCAAATCCCCCCACCCCAAATTTTTTTTACTATGTTAATAAAACATAAATAATACAAAATGAAAATGAAAAACAAATAAATTAACCCAAATAAATAAATAAATAAACACACAAACAAGCCATTCCCACAAAAATAACTGCTAGAATAGATTACCCATGCAACCCACTATTTTACACACACACATATATATATATATATATATATATATATATATATATATATATATATATTATTATTATTTATATATTATATGTGGTACTTATTAAAAAAGCGCTCAATATCAGAAATAGAATTAACATATTTGGTTGGATTGATGTGAATTGAAAGACTAACAGAGAAACGCTTTGCAATCACAAAACGTTAAACCCAGGATCAGAAACTCACATCAAGCCAACTCATATATATATATATATATATATATATATATATATATATATATATAGTCAAGGGAAAAAATATTTAGCCTGATGATTGCTCCTAGCATGAAACAGCCTGTCACTTCAGAGTGTTGACTTCAATGTTCACTTTTTATATATATATATATATATATATATATAATGTGTGTATAACACATGACATATACAGTTATTGTTTTCTGCTTCTGTATGATTATTAGTATCCAATTTTATATGGTAAGTTTTTATTATATAGCAAACTTATTTGATGTGTGTGAGATTTGGTTAAAACACCTAATCATGTATTTGCATCCGTTTACCTTGCATTCTTTTCATCTTTGTTTTTATTCCTTTATTTCTCTCTCACTCCCTTTCAGTTCCTACTCTCATATCCTATCTGCTGCTCCAGCATCCCAAACCAACACCATGCAGGCGTACTCCAGTCAGGTGGGGTTCCAGAATACCAGCTACTACCCACAGCCAGGGCCCAGTCCTTATCCGATGTTGCAATCACCATATCCTGTAACTGATAGTAAGTGGCCTGTTTCGGTTCTTTTTGGTTTTTGCAAATTTCTCCAATTGAGCATTTTTAGTTGTAGCAGAAGCTTATAACAAGTTCTTACCAACGAATGTCGTCATGTTGACAAAATTGCAATTACCCAACTTAGTTTCCAACATTTTGTATTCATCAATGAATGGCTTAACTCAAAATCTACAGTTACTCTTCTGTTTTTTACCCAGAAGAAAGTTGTTGCTTGTTTCTGTAGAATGTTGAATAAAAATGTAATTTGATAAAATATATGATATAAAATATGAAAACAATACACTTGAAAGATTATACATAATGTATAGAATACACAGAATAGAATCTCATTATCCGCAATAGATTAGTCTCAAGGCACGCACGTCTTTGGATAATAGAAAATTTATGTACACCACATATGTCCTAAAATTTTTGTTAGAAAGCAACACCTGATTTCAAAAATCTAATTACAATTTAACTTTTTCCTTACAATTTTTCATGTTTTTACTCAAAAGAAAAGACAATTTTTTGTCTGAAATGCAAAAAGTCATTATTTATAAGAGAGACTTGAAATGTTATGAAATCATTGTTTATTTTAATCAGCAAAATACATTTTGTTGATTATATTTGATACCAGCAGCAGCATATTAAAATTAAAAAAAAATGTAGCTAAGGTGGGGTGGGGGTGGGATCTCTGATAGTTGAACACAAGCACAGCAACCACTATTTTCAGGCTGAAAATATATATGTGTGTGTGTGTGTGTGTACACATGCATGTGTCTGTGTGTGCATATATATATATATATATATATATATATATAGACAGCAGGCATATCCTACACTCTGATCCAGAGTAGAAGTGTCAGTACACTGTGCTGAATTATACATAAGTATTCATGTCATTTTGGGTGTGTGTGTGTATATATATATATATATAGAGAGAGAGGCATATTTATAAAATTATCGTAAAAAGGCATATAATGTTAATATAACATTTCTTTTATAATGGGAGATGATCAGTTATAAACACCATGAACACTAGGTTTACGATATAAATTTTCTCAAACAAGTGAAATAAAATGTGTTTGATAACTGTAGGTGAAAATCAATAAATTAAACATTATTCTACAACATCATTTCAAAATTAATGTCATTTTAATTTAATGTATTACTTTCATTTAATATATTTTAACAACTATTGTGTGAGTATAAGATTTATACAGTGGATTTTTCTAAGTTTTTTTTCATTTTCAAAGTTTAATAAATTTTACAAGAAAATAAAAAACAGTAAGCTAATTTTAAAAGTTTATCTTAACAAAATAATTTTATGAGGGATACATTTCAAGTTTAAGTCTGAAATAGTTGGTGACTGCTTTGTTATAAGGTTCTGTTTTTAGTCGTTGAAATGTTTTGTAAACTTTTCTTTTCCTTTTTCTTTGCAACATAACTGATATGTTGTTGACTCTGTAATTGTACAGTGAAATAGTTGATTGTTTTAACTGCCCAATGTCCACTAATCATTGACCATAATGTACTACAGTAGCAGCAGAAAATTTTATAACTCTTTAGTAATATTTAATATTTAGTCAGTAGTGATAGATTGCATTTGAATTGATCCAAGCCAACCAACTAATAATTTCTTGTTAACAATTGGTCCAATATTATGGTCTGTCTTTTGTTCCCATCCCAAGCAAATTCTTGTATTCTTCATAGAGCTTTAAAACTAAGAATCACAACGTTTGAGGTCTGTCAGTAAAAGTATTCAGCTATTTCTAAATTAAAAAGAAAAAAAAAGAGCCTGCCTTGTATGATGATGTCTCATTCCTCTTGGGGCCTAACACACTTGTCTCCACATACTTTCAACTTTTTAAAAAAGTATGCAAGTTTGTCTTTTGGGATTACCATCAGCTGTCTTATCACATTCTCCTTAATCTCAGTCACAGTGTAATTCCAGTTTTGGGGAAAGCCAGAAGCCAAATCTGGACTCCAGTCATGCTGACAGACCTGGGTGATATAATGCTAAAACATCCACAATAGGCATGAAGAATCCGTATAAATCATCTTTGTGATTGGGACAAATCTTTTCATACACATTTTGTATATACTGTCCAAATAGATATAAATTTCAAAGTTATTTTGAACATAGAATGATACTCAGTCAGTTATGTGCCATGTGTGATACACACTTAGGCAATCAATTATCTTTCATTACATGACTGACAAGGCAGATTTTTTTTACCCGCAGTAGGTCGCCATTTCTTTCTGCAGTAGACCAGTTGCCATCCAAAGCTATAAAACCTGGTCTATCCTGCTATTTACCTATAGATGGGGGGAAACAGTACTACTTATATAGATTGGTTCGCTCTTTAAAAAAAAAAAAAAAAAGAAATGATAAATTTTGTACAGTAGCATTCTTTAGACCTTCCTTAGGGCTCGACACTTACTAGAATTGCAAAATATTTATTTTTCATCAATTTAGAAGTGGGGGACCTGTTTATAATATAGATACAGTGTCAAATCAATTCTTGGCTTTTACAGAGTTATTGCACTTAGTTGAATTGCATACAAAACAGACTTTTTGAGGAATGGTTACAAATAAATTTATTGTAAATAAAAAACAAACAAAATCTGAAAGTTCAACAGAACAGCAAAAGATGCCTTCCAAAAGCTAAGCAAAGTATTAAGAAACAGGAAAATTTTGTTAGAAATAAAGAAAAGGTTACTGAACTGTTATGCATTATCAGTGCTATATGCTGGACAATATCATCACAGATGAAGAAGTGATTTGAGCCAACAAAAATGTGGTTTCACCAAAAGATGCTGAGCATACAATGAACTGTACATGTGAACAACAACAAAGTTTTATAGAAAATGGAAACAAAAAAGACTTATCCTAAACACCAGAAGGATATAGTTGAAATTTCTAGGGCACATAATGAGGAAAGATGGCTTGGAGAATTTGATACTCACAGGACATATTGAAGACAAGAGGGTCAGAGGAAAGCAGCAAATAACTTACCCAACAAGCTTGTGTAAATGATTGACAGACCAGGGATTAAGAAAGATAGCGAAAAGATAAATCTTACTAAGTGCTAAAAAGGAAGAGAAATTGTGGAGAGCCATGATCACCCACATTCTGAAGGGACATGTCACATAGAAAATAGATAGGGATGTTGTCATCAATTTCCTACTCTGATATGCCAAGGCTTATTTTTTTTCTGGCACATTATCCTTAAGAGAATTAGAGAAGAATATTAAGCAAGTTGTTGCCTTTCCTCACAAAACGAACAACGCAAGACTGTATAACTGCTCTTACAGATTTTATCAGTTATATGAAGTTGTTTACTAAATAAAAAAAGTCTGTTCTATCTTAATTCCAGGAGTTCCCAAACTGGCATATAAAAGAGAAATTAATTAATATTTAAGGTTTCAAAATATACTAAAATCTTGAATTAATCATAACAAGCTCAAAACAATTTTAGTAAACAGGAATATTTAAATTCCTGTTTCTCTTGATATTAATGGATTATGAGCTTAACTGAAATTCCCTTACAATTAATCCCAGATCAGTTTCAGACAATTTATAAATGACTTCACAACCAAAGATCTTTCCTAACAAAATTCTTGTGTTCCATTTTGAAATATTACCTATCTCTGAAAAAAAAAAAAAAAAAAACTGTTAAAATATGTAGAGAACTTCTTTTTTTTTCTTTTTGGTTCCCATTTACTAAACATTGCAATCAGTTTTTCAGCAATGAGTATAAGAAAGAATAAAGTTTGTCAGTTGAGAATGATATGTCAGTATGCGTGTCTCTCACTGAAACTGGGCCAAGAATCAAGTTATTTCTTAGAAAGAGCCAAGCTCATCAATCACATTAAAAATGTAACATTAAATCACTAACAAATACTACAAGTCTATTGTCTTTCTGTGTGATAATCTCTGCATTTTTCTTCTCTATTCTTCACAAGGGTTTATGCCAAAACTGCTTAACGGCACAAAGAGATATGCTGGAAGAAAAACTTGATAAGCCCTTTCTATGTCCTTCAATCTGTTGGCACACTTTAAACATTGTTGACATTTTGAGATGAATGTCCTTCTGGAGAGTCAAATAAGGGGATGGGAGGTAATCAGAGGTATAGCTACAGAAATACATCACCAATAGCAAGCACTGAAATTGCACCCTTGTTCAAACCTCAGTGACACGTGTCTTTTAGGTAACTTTCCTTATAAATGCAAATCTTTCCTAAACTCTCAAAATCATTGTATCTGCTCAATTTCCTATCCGAACATAAACAAAGCAATTTCTATTAAAAAAAGAGGGGGGATGGATTTTTATTTATAAATCTAACAGATTACTTAAATTATATTTGAATAGATGCTTCATTTATTTATTATTTGAGAAGTTTTATTAAAGGAAAATATGCACTCTCTGGCTAGTAGATGAAAATAAATATACTGTTTAATAAATAAAACTTGGGTATACATTAAAAATAACATTTCAGTAATAAAATCTGTGGGATTAATAAATAAAAAGAAATTGCTATGTTTAAGTTAGGGTATAAAACTTAACAGATATAAATGTTTTGAGTCTGGAAAAGATTTGCATTTATATGGCACAATTCAACTTTGCTTGATCATTGATGCATAACTATAATATCAGTTAAAAATACAAAACTGAGTTGTTTATCTTTTAGTTAACAGATTATGATAATTACAGCCGCACCTTCCTGGTTTTCACAGACATGAATTGGTCAATAATATGCTCAAAGTTTTGTTTTTCCTCTTTCTATGCTCAGTCAGCTCACAGTATCTGCTTAGACCCATATTCTTTTGACTATTAATGTATATATGTGCTTTAACTGTCTGACCAGGCCTGATAATAGATCTGAAAAAAAATTTTTTTTTTCCCACTATCATAAAAAGATTATTCGTTTGACTTTAATAAATGCTGCTCAGTGGTGCCCAGAGCATGAGCCATATCTATCATACCTTAGGTAAGCTACTGGGGCAAAGAGAAAAGATGTAAATTCCTTTTTATGAGGCAAGCATTTAAACTTACAGCCTGACCTTAAAATATAAAACACTACCAAAATATATATTCTAAAATTCTTAAATCTGTGACAAAGCTACTTTCAGAATTTGTAAAACAAAATTTTGATATACCATTAACTTTTTTTTTGTTGTGGACCACTGGTGTCAAACACTCCAAAACTTGATGGGTTAATTATTAGCAAGCAGAATGGTATATCTTCACTATAAATAGTTTGTTTATAGACCAATTGTTTATATATCAAGGTCAGTAGACAACTTATTTTGCCTTTCTATTAATTTCAAGGCTAATAAATTTTCCAAGACTGTATGGTTCACTTCTGTACTCATCATTCTCCTCAGGATAGACGCCATTATCTATATAATATGCCATTTTTATTTTTTTTTGTTGTGTTATTATATCCTTTGTATATGAAGGTCAGCTATGTTAAATAATGCAACCTTGGCTGGTTGATTGTGAATGAGAAAGACCAGTTGAGTTGTTTAAATAAAAATAAAAAAATATTTACAAAATAATGCTTGAAGTAGCTTTTCTCCATCTGTTGATTTCTATTTTTTGACCTTGAGTATGTATTAAAAAAAATACTTTAAGTGACATTTGCAATGTTTGTAGATATTTACCAATACTTTGCTTATGTTATAAATAAGTCAAAATATAGTGTCCCAGTGTTGTCTCACAATAATAGAATATTATCCCACAAGTGTATAATTATTCTTTGAAGAAGGTACCTTATTTCCTTGTGGATGATACAAGGAATTTTGAATGGAAGAAGGGAGGGTTGTATTATGCACAAGTACATATTTTCAGAAATATTTACTCAGCTTAAGAAAAACTCTTATTTGTAACAGCAAGATTTCAAATACACTCAGTTAGTACCATAGATACTGAAATCCAAAGTCGGCAGGTGTTGATAACAATTACTTACAAAAGACATTTGATATATCGGCAATAATTGTTTCTCTCTCCATTCTTAACAAAATGCAATATTTTTTTTATTTTTATTTTAAGGGTTTCTTAATATATAGAAATATAATAGAGTTATATCAAACAGTAAAATATGATAGATTAATTAATACCTGAAAATGTATTACCAGGTATGTCAAGTTAGCACCTTTCCCTAAAATTTCAAAAATAAGATTTAAAATGGAAATTAGGAGAAACACACAATGGCTAAACATCTAATTCATTTATATTCTTTAATATTGTGAAAAATTAAATATTTTGGTGAAATGTATGTACGACATTGAGATTTTAATGAATAATATGGTACAAATTTAAAAAAAAAAAAAATTAAACAAGAATGGCTGTACGATGGGGGGGGGTCATCTTATACTCACGTATGCAATTTATTCCCTGTTTTTAGCTTCAGAAACATGTGGTCATATTATACATAAGAAAATATGGTATATAGCTTTCTTTGCATAATATGTTGAATTTATATAAACCTTTAAACTACACCTGCTGCTACTGTTGCTGCTATCTACTTTTGAATGACTTGCTTCTTTCTGATTTGTGATATTTTTTTTTTTTAATCCACTTCCCCTTGCATGCTTTTCCCAGCATGCATTTCTTCACACCATTTTTTTTTTTCTTTTTCCATTTAAAATTTGTTGGAGAGTTCTTGAAATCGCAAAAAAATAGGTTTTATTTATTTCTTTTATTTTTAACAGTTTAAAATTTTATTTGATAACATGCCAGCAGACTATTAAGGTTGTTGAAATTAATTTTAAGTTTTTCTAATTTAAAGGCAACTGTAGTAATTTCACTGAAACCATATCAGTTTTGTTTTTTTTTCTTTCATCTTCATAAATTTCAATCTGATATTAAGATTGATTTTAACTTCTATTTTTTTTTCTATTATGTAGTCACATGTAAATAAAAATTGTAATAATAGTCTTAGAGATTGCTAGCATATTGTTGTTGTTATTATCTGAAAATGATTTTTCCTTTCTAACTGGATTTTTTTAAAATTTATTCAAATTTAACTTCCCAAGTATCATCCTCAACCCCCCCTCTTTGTTGACCCCCCCCCCCAAATAAATAAATAAAAACAACAATTCCTTGTGAAAATTGTTTTTAGTGCTGAATTCTATTGGCTTGAAAAGTTGTTTTGGATTTTCTTTAGTGTGCGATGACTTCTTTGATTGTCTCATACTTTTTGATTTTCAATCATAAGAATATTCAAGAGTCTGTCATTGCAAACGCTGCTAAGAATAAGACTTTCTCCATCAATCCAGCTCAGCTCCTGGTGGAATTCAGACAAAGAATGATGAACCAGTCAGAAAGTAAGCATTATAAAGAAGTCAAATCATTCTATCACCAATTCCAGAAGAAGCCTAAAGTATTCTGTCACTCAAAAAAAACAAAAAAACTAATGCTTAGAATGGGAAATTTTCTCTAAAACTTTCCTTTGACATGATTAGTCAAAATCCAGTGGCTTTTGTTGTAGTCTCTTTATCCAGATAGGTGAGGTCCTAAATAGTCAACAGTCTACACCAATAATAATAAAAAGGTTAGATTTGACAAGTGTAACCAAGAGTTAACTTTTAGGGAGAGAAGGATGAAGAGGATTTGCTACTTGTCAATATCGACTTAAATTTGCCATATTTGCAAATAGAGAAAGCTAACATTTCACATTCACTTAAGTTCAGTACCCTCCACATCAAGTATGAATCAGTTGACAATAACCATGGCTAAAATATCTGAGTGTAATCAGATGTTGTAAAATTCCAGATGTAGAAACAAATTACTAGCTTTGTTCCATCATAGATGTACATTTGGATACATATTTCATACATTCAGAGTAACAACTTTTATGGAACAGAAGTAATATTCTATATCTCCCCCGCTTTGTTAGATGTCTTGTGGTTGAATACCAAGAATTGTTTTTCTGAATTTTGATAACTGATTTAAATTTTAAAAACCGTCTTGACTTTAGATGTTGTAAAGAATAGTACAACATAAAAAAGAAGACTGAAAAACAATGAAACAGCCTGAAATTTTATGATAACATAACGTTATTTATTTATTCTGATATCCTCATCCCCCACCATAATTGAAGGGGTCATTTTACTTAATTAATTAATTAAGGTAATTAGTTTAGAATGCTGCTTTTTGTAAGTGAAGTTATGTATATAAGTGGACACTGAGGTCAACACAGAGTGCAGTCAGTCTGTTTCATGGTTGAACGCAATCTTCAGGCCACTGGAAATTGTGTTCAAGCATTAAATAGACAGTTGTCACTTGATGTTGACCTCGGTGTCCTCTTTTATAGTTGCATACTCTTTATCCCTTTATCTTTACTGAGGACTTAGCATATATATTTTATTGTGTGTGTGTGTGTGTGTGTGTGTGTGTGTGTGTGTACACACACACACACACACACACAAGTGGACATCAAGGTCAAATCCCAGTAGTGATGATCTGTTCCATGCTTAAATGCAATGTCTTAAGAAGTCTAAAAGACATGGCCTGAGGAGTGGGTAGAAACACTGTTGTTGCATGGTGTTGACCACAATGTCCACTTTCTACTTATATAGACTCTATCTCTGATAGTGATCACTTTAACTCATAAATATAGCATACCTTAAAACTATATTTTATATATAATTTCATTGAATGTGACAAACAAGGAAAATTCTGTAAAATTTACAATATATTATAGAGTATTAAAAACTGCCAGCCTCATAATTACAGATAACAAAACACCTCTCAATAAATTTAATTGCCCAGTACAAGACTGCATCTCTTGTTATAAACCAATAATCTACATTAGGTACATGGACCAATAACTATCTCCTAAAGTATGACAAACCACTTGAATGATATCAATGGTATAATAAAGCATCTTGATATCAACAGGCAACTGCCTGCCCCCATTAGAAAAATTATGGTTGATGACACCATCATACAAAATATATCTAACTTTTAAAAATTATGGAGGCTCTTTATATGAAACAATTCATGCCAAGGATCAACCTTACTTAATTTAACAACAGCAGTAATATGTTGGTAGTCTTTTAAAAATGAAGACACCCCAACATGGTGTCACAGCCACATCCACTTGCAAGCTCTAAGATCACTACTGCTTCAACACTATACACCTTAAAACACAAACACTGAAAAAGATATTAATTCGTTTTTGATATTTAAATAATTTTTTGTTCAATTTTCTTGGTAATTAAAAATCATTTAATCTTGAAATATATAATGAGTTTTAATGTTGTTTTATTTGAGAAACCACCTACCAATTTGTATCTAAACAGCTGACTGGTATATTTTTCTTGCAACTACTTTTTTTTTCTCTCTTTCTTTCTCTCTCCATTTTTTTGTTTGTTTATTTATTTATTTATATATATATTTTCTATATATTTTACTTTTTTTCCTTTGGTCTGTCCTGATGGTTTTACTGACCAACTTGACATTCCTATATCTTATGTATTTCCCTTTATTGGGCTCTGTCCAGTCCATAATATAAAGCATGGGCTGGAGAGGTGTTCAATAAATGTATATGTCTTAAGCTAACTTGAATGCTTGACCATTGAATGCTGGCCATGGGGAGATTGGGTGAGATCTTTTTTCTTGATTCAGCAGTGAAATTGAAGACGACCAATAGTCAGATGGCAAACCCCAGTTACTTAACGAGTGGTGGTTACTTAGGAGCTGGCTCGGGCCCATTTTCTCAGTCAGGACAAAGTTCATATATGTGCGGTGAGTAACTACAAAATTGGTGTCTAGGGTTTTAATGGTATTATAAGTTCTAGGGCAGGACTAAAATATTTGGATATCTGTCCATGGCTCAGTCTCCTCTTCCTTCTTCCTCTCCCATCAAAGAAAAAAACATACCTGTAAAAGCCAGCGGAATATTCCAGAAAGGCTTATATGATGGTGCTTTTAAATTGTTCAAATTTCTCTCTTTATATGTTATTTCATTACATTTCTTGCATGTTAGCTCTTTCTATTTTTTATAATAAAATTTAAATATTTTCTTCTTGTCTATTAAAGCTAAAGGAAAAATCATCATTTTTAAAAAATTATTATGGAAATATTCATTTGTATTTTTAAGATGTTTTAATTCTATTCCAATGTATGTGAATTTTGTTTTTTTTTTTGTTACAGTAATTTTTCTCCAAGAGGTTAAAAATGTTTTGGCTTTAAATAACCCACAAAGGGTTGAGAAGACATCAAAAAACAAATCACTCCAAATGGTTAATATATATATATATATATATATATATATATATATGTTTTCCTCCTACTTATAACAAATAAAGTAAAATTTAAGTCCTGGGTTTGTTATATTTAATAATCTATTGAGTAAATAAATTTCTTTTTCTCCTCCAGATGAAAATAAATAAGATAAAAACTGGTCTCCAGATTTTAACAATCTTTGCTTGCCTTTTGTAGACTAACCTTTCTACTTTTTTTTTTTTTTTTTTTTTTTTTTTCTTAGTTAGTCCCTCCCTTCCCCCTTCTCCACTACAGTCCTTATTAATTAGCATGAAAGAATTTTGTTTCCATTTATAAAACCTTACTGAACTGTTTGCTGTTTTTTTTATGATCATGCTAACCTTTGCCTCTAATTAATCTTCTTGTCATCAGTGTTAACAATCTTGTTTGTTTTTACTATTTTGTTTGTTTGTTTTCCTCATATTTTTATTTTCAGTTTTAACATTTTCTTTCATTTTTCTCCTTCCTTGAGAAAATGTATTTTTTCTTCACAAGTCTATTTTTTGTGAAAATTCCAATATAATCAAAACTTTCTTTTTTTTTTTTTCCATCATATTTATTTCAAATTGGCCCAAATTTGAAATTGGCCCAACTTTGCCCTGTTCAAAATTGGCCCATGTTAGCCCCCATCTGAAATTGGCCCATGTTAGCCCTGTCTGAAGTTTCCCAATTGTTCATTCTATTTAAGTCTTACTGTATTAATTATCTTTATTGCATTTTTCTTGCATTGTGATGGATTATTCAAGCTTTGCCCTTGTGAAATATTATTTATCAAATAAAATGATGAAAAAAAAAATTGGATTAACACATGAAGCAAGCCATTTTCTAAATAACAAATTTTTAATCATATAAACCTCACTACAAACGTCTGTCATTTGAATTTAAATGATTATATTTTCCATGGCATTAACCATTAATCTACCCTAATTGTACCCATAATGAACCTTTTTCTTAACCAAGAAAAAAAAATTTCCAATGATCAAAAAATGTCCCTGCTGGAGTTTGAATCCTGTTCATTAATTCCATTCACTTTGCTCTAAACCATTAGGCCACATGCATCTTCTTATTTTAGTATCTAGCATTGTAGACTCATTGATAGTCTGCCATTATGATTTGGGAATTTGGTTTGGGATTCTTGTCGATTAACCATCAAAACAGTCTAATTTAACTTTAGGAAATTCCTCTGCATCCACAAAATAATAATCTTTGCAACAAGATTTAAGTCAAAAGAGATAGCCTTCTAAATATTAACCATTTTATATACAAATGTTTTTAGATTTTTTGTAAATTAATTTGAAGCTTACCAATGTAACTTTCCCATTGACCAAACTGAAACTATTTAACATTTTCTTTCTCTCTTGGGCTCCCCCCCCACCAAACAACGACCCCCCCTCCTTCTCCCATTTGTTCTTTATGAAGATTACTATCGACGACATTTTCCATGTTTTTATTATTTGTCAATTTATTGTCCCTATGGTAAAGAGGGTGGGTGTCTCGATTGCTTTTTCTCAAATATCAATAGGATCTCAGCTTAAATATTTAATTTAATATGAAGTTAATGTATGCTTTCCCTGATTGACAATTTTTATGTTTTCCAAATACCAAAGGCACATCCCTGACTATGTACTGAGTGAAAAAGATAGGCTCTTTCCAATTTAATATTGATTAGGTTGCTTTGGGATTTGTTTGGTTAAATCACTTGAGGGGAGATAAGGTCACTTCCTCATATCACACATTTAGCAAAGGAATAGCAATATTTTCACTGTATAATAGCAATAATAATAGATAAATAATAAAAGTAAGTTAAGAGATTCTTTGCTTAAAGCTTTTCACCTGGAGTAAATAAACCTGTAAGCAGGCGCTTTCTTTCTGTTTAATGGTAAAAGGGATAAATGATACTTAGATATTGAAAGGATTAACTCTGGTTTTGATTTAGATGAAGTACCGTCAGTAATTATTATTAATTTTTAGGACTCTACTTAAATTGACTGGTCAATTCATTAAAAAAAAAAAAAAAAAATTTAGGAAGGAATTTTTGTAGATAAGTAATCATTTGACTTTCCTGAAGCTGCGATTATTTGTCAGAATCAAAAAAAAATATTGATTTTTTAATTTTTTTTAATCATTTTGGAAGGATGATGTCCTGTTTAGGATCTAGTGTCAAATTGATCACTGATTTATTAGAATTATCTGTACTTTGTTTTTATTTATAAATGTCAAGTCTTAAACTATGCTTGTGTGATTGATGACTGTGTATCACTTTTATATCCTTTTTCTCAATTCATAAATACTATAAGATATCAGTGATATGAGCACAGTTTCAAATTTATCATTTGTAAAAGTTCACATAATTCTTTAAGAAATAAAGTATCAAAGAAGGTCTAATGAATGCTAATCTACAAAAATTCTTTCTGCTTCCATCAAATTAAGTAGTGTCATTTTTATTGATTTTTATTATTCATTTATTGTAACTAAAGGCGTCATTAGACAACATGAATGTCTTTTATTTTGTTCTGCACTGTTTAGTCACTACTATAGAATTGTTTTGTTGAAAAAATAAACGTAAATATGAGGCAAAATTTGATTTTTTTTTTTTTTTTTTTTTTTTGAAACTAGGGGTTTATTTACAATCTGACTAAAGTCTTTTATCATGTTTCTACCATTAACCACTCTGGCAATCCATCAGATGTCTGTTGATCAGAGTAACTATCAGAATATTAAATAAAGGATTCATTTTAAAATTCCCTGAATGTCACCCAGATTGACAAATACCTAACTTCAGAAAGTGCAATGGTTCAAACGTGGTGATAACAACAAAGATAAAGATATTTATCCAATTATAAATGTTGTATATAATTAATGATACACATTTGTTTATTTTCTAATCATATATAGTCAAATCCTATAATGTCCTAGAAATATGTAAAATTTGTTTTTGATTTAAAGCCACAATCTGTGTCAATATGTCTTCTCGATTGTATTGTATGTTAGTCAACTTTACATATGCATAAAGGGATCTAAGAACAGGGAGCATGTCAAATGATTTTTTTTTTTTTTTTAATATTCTCAAACTATCTAACATGTACTTAATTTTATAGAATACAGTTTGCCATACTTGAAATAACTTGGGTTCCTTTTAAATTTTTATTTCAAAATATATAGAGTGCTTTTGAAAAAGTGATCAGTTAAACTTTCTTTTAGCCTAGTCTTCTCATCTTTAGAAAGACAATGAAACGAGTCCAGATCAATGCATAACAGTAACATCCTGAGGAAGGTCAGAGGGTACGACAGACAAAACATTGTGAGAAAGATCCACAAAAACAAGGAAAGCATATAAAGAGAAACAATGTATAATAGTAACAACATATTTGGAATTTACCCAAAGAAAGAAAAAATGGTGATCAATTATCTGCGTTCTAAACAATTCTTCTATTCATAATTTGTATCTACTCTTCTTCTTCTTCTTCTTTTTAATATCTATAGATTTTGGAAAAAGCTATATATACAGTCAATTCACTCAAAATGTTTCTGGCTCATCAAAGCCCTATCAAAATGGTGCATTAAAATTAGCAGTTGTTATTTAGTACAGTGTAACCCGGATATAAGAGAGATTTTCTCTAGTCCCAAATTAGAGCCTGTGTTAATGTATATAAAATAGACCAAACCCGGATATAAGAGACTTCTTCTCCGGTCCCGATAACTCTCTTATATCCGGGTTACACTGTAATAGATTTTTTTTTTTTTTTTTTTTTTTTTTTTTAACTTTGCAAATTTGACGATTTTCCCTCAATTGTTTTACTTAATTTTTGAAGATCAAAGATTTGGCATTTATTTAAAAATTGAATGTATTATTTTTTATATATTATCATCAATTTACTCTCTAGTTGTACCATTTAGTTCTGATCACTTTCAATCATTGATTCTTTTTCTTTTCTTTTTTTCCCATCCCACTTTATAATCAGTGTTTCCATTCCATACCTATAATCTTCTTTGTTTTTGTCTTTTTTATCATCAATTTTACTGTTTAACACATTATTTAAAACTTTTTAATTTTTTTAAAATTTTGTTCATTTTTATAATTTTTTCTTCCTATTTCAGGTTCTGGTTCAAATATCAGCAGCCCAACATCAGCTCTCAGCTATGCCTCACAGCAGGTCAGAATTTAATACTTCCTTTAACTGAATACTTTGATACTTAGTTACGCCTGAGGAGACAAAAACTTCACCAATGAATATACTAAAAGCTGCAGAGCTACCATATTTTATAACCCTCTGTCTTGAGTTGGCCTTGGGCCTTATATTGAGTGAACTAAGAGTAAATAAATATACATACAAAAAGAAATTACATACATACATGCATACATACATATGTATGTATATAAAGTGGACAGTGATATTGAGCACTTTATCCCATAAATATATCATACCTTAACCTTTAGTAATCTGCATTATTAATATTACTTCCCTTTACATTGCATTCTTTTTCAAGCCCCCCCCACTTCCAATTGCAATATCCTTATTGTTAATTTCACTCAAAGATGATTTCTATTGCCACAATAGAATATGACAATACAACTATGAAATTCAACTCACTGTTGTTCAGAGATTAGTCACCTTCAGTGGCAGTATAAACTTTTTGTACAGCAAATGAAATGACAGAGAGATAAAGCTTAAAACTAATATGACCCACTACCCATCCTCCAAAATATTAGAAATCCATAAATTTCTAATTAAAAAAAGAAAAAAAATGCCTGAAACGGGAATTGGTTTAATTTAACCATGTAGTAAACTACCTAGAAATCTTACATAAATGGTTGGTTGAACAAGGTTTGGGAGTGATAATAGAAAGATAAAATTTATTAAGAGCTTCAAAGGACAGGAAATTATGGCAAGCCATGATCCCGAGCATCCTGAAGGATCTCTGCACATAGAAGAGAACATGGATTACATTGCAGTGAGATTTGATGTCACATCCAACAATATTATTTAATTAATTATTTGTTATTTAATCATTTCACCCGAGGCAAGATGATAAAGTCACTAAAACACAAGAGGTTACTGAGTGTGAAAGTGTGTGAATATTATTTAGGAGAAAAGAACAGATTCAAGGAGACACAAGATGATGATTGATATTGTATTTAAATTTTTGAAGATCAAATTTGACTGAAAAGCAAGAAGTTGAAAGAGTTCCTCAAAGGAGAAGTGTGAGAGAAGGAACTGTTAGCTTAGAACTTATGTGAGATCTAAGTCATTTCAATGGTAAAATAATGAAACTTATGGAACACCATTTTAATTGTGTATATCTGTGAGTGTCTGTGTGCATATTTATGTTTTACTATTATAGTTTCCTTATGTTGTCATCTAAAGAATTCTTATTTTTTTCTTTTTTTTTTTTTTTTATATACTAAAGTTCATTCAGTGCAAGACCTAAAAACTACTAAAGGTGGAGGGTTAATGAATGAGGTGTGTGATATAAACATGAAAGGGGGAAGCAGGAAATGAAGTTTGCAAGAATATGATGGATAGATAATGATTAACCCGAGACCCGTTAAGACTGTAGTGTTCTGGCCAACAACCATATGGCAGTCTATTCCACAAAGTAGTGTTTTCTTGGGAATAAAGGTTATGGAATTGAATACCCTTTTTACCAAAGGGATGAGGTCACTCAACTCTTCTAGATGTAACAAAGTGAGTATTGGCTGTAAAGGACTGAACTGTTGGCTGTAAAGAATGGAGCTCATCTGAACATTTGCAATGGTAATCTTGATAGACTGGCAATGCTGTGTTTGTGAGGAAAGAGGGTGTAGGGTGGAAAATAAGTCATTCTCCCATCAGTTTATCAATTCTGTCATACAGGTGTTTACCTATGTTTATATGTAGCTTTTAAACTGAAGTGTTGTCTTATATGAGAAAATCCATTGAAGGTTACTCAATTCAGTTTTGTCATCAAGTCATGTGGAATATTGAGATAAAGCATCTTGGACTTTTCCATCAGGCAGCAAGACCTCTGATCAGAAGATGGGAGGTTTTCAGCAGTGTGGAACCACCTCTTAATTGTTGTTGTTCACCCTAGCCTGGGGTGGTAGCACCTGTTAGGATCCCAGCCATGGGCAAATAGTGAAACTCCAAACAGAATACTACTACAAAGGTATATAAATACATTTTAAAATAAAAATACCTGCAATACATTTTTGTTTTTAAAAAAAAAAAAAAAAAAAAAAGCAACAAAATCTCTGTCGTAAAATTAGCAACAACACATTTTATCTGTGGTTGAAGGCATACAATTGCATTTAAAATATATTTAGTAGAAGCCATAAAATTGTGTTCAAATTATTTACATTTAGGCATTAAATAACCCATTGAGGTGTTGATATGCAGCTAAACAAAATCAAGCATTCAGAAGATCCTCTGGAAATTTTTGTAATTGAAACTGGAGGAAATCTATTATGCTTGAAAGTGGTAAAAGAAACATGATAAAAAAAAAAAAATAAATACAATTTAAAAAGAAAAAAGGAAGAACACAAACAATCTTTTCCATTTGCCATCAACATGGATAATGCTAAAAATTTTTGCACTTTCTTGACTTATCCACTGACATGAAGAGGAGTGACTATATTGTATCAGTTGCTATTTTTTCTCATCAGAATCCATCTTGCACATTTATAAATCTACTATTCGTCTGTGCATTGGATACTGCTGCCATATCTGGTCTGGTGCTATATATCTCAAGATTCTTGACAAAATTCAAAGAAGGATCTGTAATGTAATTGATCCCAACCTGACATTACAAACTTCAGTCACTTTCACTTGACATGGCTTCCCTCTGTATATAAAGGTCATCTAACCAAAATATCACACCTTGATGAGTAGATAAGGAGTTATTGGCTTTTGTCAACATTAATATGAAAAAGACAGGACAATTTTATAGTCCTAAACTGGACCGAAGTTAAAAGCTGGTTATATTTAATTTGAGATTTAAAGATTTGGGATTTTTGAGATGAAATTTTTACGAACTTCAAAAAGTATGTTAAATAATTTTTCTTCCTTTTTGTATTTTAATATCTAACTCCTCCTCCTCCCTCTGATAAAATGATCATAATTCTTTCAAACTTTACAAGTGTTTTCTTTTTATTTCAATGTGCAGATAGAACTGTAAAGATTTACAAAATATTTTTATTTTTTTTTGCTACCTTATTTAACATTTGGGAAGGACAGATGAACTAATGGTTAACAACACAGAATTTAAAATCAGCAAGCCTAGTTCAAATTCTAGCTATGTTTGCTCTTCAGAAGTATACTTCTCCTAAACCATACTCTCTATATTTGGTTGGCAATTACTCAAGGAGAAGGAATGCAGTAAATTCAAAACAATGACAAAGGCAGTGGGATATCATTTCAATTTCTTTTTCAAGAGGAGTAATGACAATGTACAGTTGACATATATTAAAGACAAGCAAGTTTTTGAAGAGGATTTAATATTGATTCCTCTTTAATTGCATAATTTAATTTAATTGGACAATGGAAGTAATTGGCAAATTCAAGCTTTCTATCTGCACTTATTCCAAGCTTTGTCCTGTTTGCAAATAACGAAGCATAGAACTTTCTAGACATTTGTGTTTTGGCACACTCAATTACACTGATCGATTCAACCGAGATTATAACAGTAATTCATTAACACTTTCAATGCCAACATGTGTAGGCCAAAAATAGAACAGGAATTCCCACAGAAACTAAAAAGAGCAATGCTGTAAAAGAATTACTGTAAAACCATGTACAAAGAATAAAATAAAGACAAAGCTTGAATTTCAAAAGTGGGTTGGGATATAAAGCAGTTTATGAACTTTTTTTCTTTCTGGGTATCCTATTTACATTTGTATTTATTTTAATCTCTCTCCTTTTTAGTTTTGTAGGATGGATATTTTTAAAGGGGACACACACACACATATATATATATATATATAATTATTATTATTGGAATTTATTATACAAGAATTCAACATACTTTAGACTATCTCTTGTATGATACACCTCACATCACATGTCATGTAGAGCTTATTAATTAATTAATCAAGTTTTCAGGCAATTATAGAAATACTATGATGCTGATTCTGTTGGCTTTTTTTCTTTCAGAATTTAGATGCTTATTCTCCCTATCAGGGATATCAAACTACTGGATATTACGGTGGATATGGCTTTATCAGCAACCAACCTGTAGTTGGTGTTACAACACCAACAACAGTGCCTTCAACCACACCTACCTACCAACTAGTGGAACTACCACAACCACAAAGTAAGTTTTTTTGTCCTTTTTTTTTTCTTTTTTGACTGGCTTCAGCTGAAGTATATTTACTTGGGAGTGCTGAAAAGTTCTTATCCCCTTCTCAAAATCTGATCCAATACAAACCATTTTTTTTTTTTTTTTTCTTATGAAGGGCCTCTTGGTCAGTAAATAAACTTTTCAGCACCCACTTGTAATCTTCTAATTTTACCTATACAGAATAAGTTATTTTAAAGAATTTTTTTTTAATTTTAAAAGGCGCAAACAGTGGGCGTTTTTTTTCTCTGTAATGCAGTTTTTTCGGTTTTTTCTTCTTTTTTTTTTTAGTCTAGCTGCTGATGCTTTTCTGCATGAAGCATTTTAGATACCGAACGTTCTTATTAGTCTTCACAATTACAAAATAGAATTATTATTGTACAAAAATATGTTTTTTTTTTTTTTGCAAACACTTTTTGTCAGGGTTAGGGTTACCAGATTGGGTTATGTTTGAAAGGCTACTGCTACAGAATTTTGAATTACACCACTTTCAACTTCCTTTCTTTTAACATAAACTAGACCAACTTGGACTATTGAGATAATCAATTTGAAATTTAGTTGCTTTTGGATTTCAAATCTAACCCAATTTGGCAACCTTGACTGATGCCAACATTTCACCCTAGTCTCTGCTATTCTCTTTCTCTCCCTAGGGTTTTCTTTTTGATTTTGATCACAGGAGTATTGACTTTTTTTCCACCCCTCACTCAAAGAGGTTTGTAGTTCTCTGCATTACTCTTAAGTTAGGAAACAATTGTTTAGATTTTAGTTGATGAAACAGTTTTTTTCATCCTTTAAAAATGCTGACCTTCTTAGTTGTCTTACCCCCACTTTTTTTTTTCTTAACTTTGTACAGTAGTTTATTATGTACAAAGAAATTCAAAAACTGTGGGATTTTATGTACTATTATCTACTATGAATTTTATAATTTTATATAAGAAATGCTTTCCCCACCTTTCAAGAAATAAAAATAATATGGCTCTAAAAAAAATTATCTTTATTATCTCATATATGAAGTTAAGTTATGTGGTAGGTAGACATTTACTCACACTCCATAGAAGACCAATACTTGTATAGTATCTATCCTGACTTCATTATATTGTAATATTAAAGGATATAGTGGTGGTTCTTACACAACTAACATGGAACATACTTGAAGTTTGGGGATATGTGACGTTACTGTTACCTCACAATAAATTATTTTTCTGACCTCAAACTGACTGCTCACTCATAATGTTGTCACAAGACTAGGGTAATATTGCAAAATGCTGCAAAAAAAAAAAAAAAAAATCTGTACTGTAAGATTAGAATCTTTTTAATTTTTTTTTTTTCAACTTAACAAATTAGATGGTATAAAATTTCTTTTCATACTTTTTTAATTGAGAATCACTAATTTAGATGATGAATGCACTTCTAATGTCTTCCTGGAATTTTTTTTATCCATTTTCTATCAATTCCACATTGCCAAGCAACACATTTGCAATGTTACAATGAAACATTAGTCTACAAAACATTGTAGCAATGCCATTTTGTAAGCTGAGTTAACTGGTGTGGACTTATAGATATTCACTCTTTCAATATATCTTTAGTTTATTGGCATGTGGCCAAGTGGTTAGAACATTCGCATTCTGACAATGAGATCCGGGTTCGAATCTCAACATGGTCAATTTGTCAAGAAGTAGACTTTCTGATGTTATCGGATTGGAGGGGGTCGATCCCAGCATGTGGCACCTTTGGGAAGTGCCTAAAAACCATACCATGGGTTGTGAGTGAAATTGGGTAGACGGAACCCTTGGGTGCCATCATGAAGTCACAAGTCATCGTGGCCGAGGGCTTGAGCATGCTGGCCTTCTTCAAATTGTTGACCACGCTAGATAACGCACTCTTTCCCAGAAATTGTAACTAAGGTCTGCTCAGCATAGTTGCAGTATAAGCTACATGTGGGCTCTGGGTGTTGAATAAACACAAATGTGCCTGAACAAGCGTCTGCAATAGGGATTGGCTAGCCACCCTAGTAGACAGGTATCATCGAATACAAGTGGCCAGTTATATTACTACTACTATATCTTTAGTTTATGTGAATTATATTCATTTTTTCAAAACAACATTTTCCAGCTCAAATCTGGGATCAAGACACTTTTTACGTGATGCACACATTTTCTGTTAAGAAGGCAATCTTGCAAGCACAAGCCATGTCATTTCGATAGCAGGATATATATTATAAAATACAGTAATTAAAATATTAAATCTTCAGTGGTCCCTGTAGCAATGAGATAATTTTAAGCCAATACATTTTTGTATACTTTTACCTGACAAAGGATGTTAAAACTAAAAATATTGATTTAGAAATAATATTTATCTTAGCATTTACTGTCTATACACCTTGATAATATCATCATTGATAATCCAAAAGTGATTTGAATATCATCTCATATTGTATCACTTATGTGCTGTGGATTAACAGCTGTACCCTTTAGTGAAGGCTCTTCAGTTGGTAGAAACCAGAAGTGAGAAAATCAGGGTCTGATGAGTTTATTTAATGAACTTGGAAAATATGGATGTACTTTGAGATTATTTAAATTGTACAGATTCTTCTCTTGAAATCTGTAGATAGAACTGTAAAAATATATATATATATATCATGCAAGGTAATGCTGTTGCAATTTCAGTAGCAAGATTCTATGGAGTTTTGTTAAGGTCTGCCCAACTGGTTTTAATTCAGTCATCCTTCTCAATTGGCTGCCACATAAGGTGAGTGGGCCCAGTCTACACTGTTATTTAACCCCTAGCTTGAGGGGATAGGAAATGGATTTATAACTTCCCAACAATATTAGTGCAAAGTAGACACACACACACACACATTCCCTCTCAGCAGTAATTTGAATCCGGCTTGCTGAATCCACTTTCTGTACTGTTAATCATTCAACTCCTTTCTTACATTTAGTTGTATGAAAATAGATTGATAGAAACTTATTGAAACTAAATGCTATAGATTAAATGGATTAAAATATATATATATATATATATATATATATATATATATATATATATATATATATGAGAGAGACAATTTTTCTTTCCGGAATCTATCTTACATATTTATAAGTCTACCCTTCGTCCATGCTTTGAATATTGCTGCCACATATGGTTCAATGCTCCTACTGTATATTTAGAGATTCTTGATAAAAATCCAAAGAAGAATCTGCAATCTTGGCTTCAGAGCCTTTCTCACCCACCCTAACATAGCTTCCCTGTATCTTTTTCTATAAATACTTTCATGATAGTTATTCTGATGAACTTACCATTATGGTACCTAGATTTTATGAATTTAAGTGCAGTACTAGATTGGCAGCAAGGTCTCATCATTTTATAGTTGAAATGACTAGATCTAACCGTAACTTCTATGCTAACAGTTTCTTCTCTCACACTTTTCACTTCTGAAACTCTGTTCTAGCTTCTTGCTTTCCAGTCAACATTGATCTTTAAAAATTTAAATGCAATATCAATCGTTATCTTCTGTCTTCTTAATTCTTATTCTTTTATTGGTCTCTCTCTCTCTCTCTCTCTCCTTAATAGTAGTTCTTCTCATATTCTATAATACTCAATGACCCCTTGTGTCCTACTGGCATTTATTGCCTTTGTTGGGGTGAAATGATTAAAAATCCTAACAAATAGGTATTTCCACTTTGATTTATCACATGCACACATGTGTGTGTATGTATGTATGTGTGTATATATATATATATATATATATATATATATATATATATATATATATGATAATCAGACAAGGTGGAAATACCTATTTGTTAGGTAGGTGTGTTTTGGTTGGAATAAAAAAAAAAATCACAGTTTTTGTCTGATCTGACTCTTCTATGTGTTGATCATGGCTCTCCACGACTTCTTATCCTTTGTATCTTTTAGTATGTTCTGCAAACCATTTACACAAGCTGTTAAGTAATGTTGTTTCAGGTCTCTTCTTCAACGGTGCAGAGATGTCAAACATTCACTGTCATGTACAAGGACTGATATTACATAACATTTCAGTACTCTTTACTTTGTTTCTAAGGAAATTTTCTTGTTTCTTTGCTTACCTTTGAAAAGGCATCTTTTGCTCTTCCAACACTTCCTAGATATTTAAATTTTTGTACATGCTTGATTTTGGTGTTTCCACTTTGTCATTTGCATGCAGCAGTCAGGTTATCGTTTCTCTCACTTGTTATAGAAAAGAAAATGTTAAAGGAATGCATTTAGTTTGCTTTCATTGAGTGAATAACATTGGATTATATTAAAATTAAGATTTATGTCTTGGTATGCTTAATCCTTGTAAATTTTGAAATTAATAAAGTCACACAGGTCTGGTAAGAAGATATTACTGTGTTGATTTAATGTATAAAGGTAGGGAATATTTCCTGGAATAGATCTCTTCAGTATTTTGGTCTTGTGCCTAACGTTTCAGTAGGCATCTGATTCCTTGCCAAACCTCTTGTTTGTGATGCTGGTAAGACTCTTAAAAGCATTTTTAAAAAATGCAAAAGAAAAAAATAGTCCTCAGATCTATCTCTCTCTTCCTCTACCTTCTTTTTCCTCATCTCTTCCTCTACCTTCTTTTTCCTCATCTCTTCCTCTACCTTCTTTTTCCTCATCTCTTCCTCTACCTTCTTTTTCCTCATCTCTTCCTCTACCTTCTTTTTCCTCATCTCTTCCTCTACCTTCTTTTTCCTCATCTCTTCCTCTACCTTCTTTTTCCTCATCTCTTCCTCTACCTTCTTTTTCCTCATCTCTTCCTCTACCTTCTTTTTCCTCATCTCTTCCTCTACCTTCTTTTCCTCATCTCTTCCTCTACCTTCTTTTTTCCTCATCTCTTCCTCTACCTTCTTTTCCTCATCTCTTCCTGTCCCCTCTTTTCCCAATCTCTTCCTCTACCTTCTTTTCCTCATCTCTTCCCCTTTACCTCCTCCCCCTCTTTCTCTTCCTGT